AATGTCTGAGAATCGAATTGAAAATAATTCATAAATCCTTTGAGGTGTAACTATAATTTAACAGTATATGCGGTACAATAAAAAAATTAAATAAGTTTCCTTCAAATACATGCTTACAAATCGATTGCAATTTCAAAACGTCGATACCTTTCCCTCGAGGATACATTTAAAGGATGTAGAAATTTGTTCCCAGCTCGGCCACAGCTGTTTCATAGAGGAAGGGGGACAAAGCTTTCAAGGTGATCGACACCGGAGCCGACACTTTGCGAATCTTGGCAGATTGTCGGCTGTTTCTTAAGCGTCTTCTCCCCTTCGAGGGAGTCGTCCGTGGGAAAGTTCCGCCAAGAAAGCCGGGCGAGGGGTTGAGATTTTAAGGGTCAACTCCGGTCTTGGGGAACCGAGGTGTTCTGCATTGTCGAAGGTCGACCGACTTGGTATAACCGTTAAAAGGGAGCCGGTTGGTTGGCTTAAGAAGCACGATTGAGGATCTTTGAATAGAACCAGGGGAAGGGGAGAGTATAAGGCGAGAAGACGCAAGTCGTCGTTACGCCCAGAGTCATTTTGCGGCTTGGAAATCCACACGATTCCATATCGCGATTTTCCTCCTAGTCGACGTTCCGTTACCCCTTGTTTGCCGAGTCAAAATGCAAATGGGCTTCTCTTTGGTTGAACGAGACGACGTAAGTCACCTTGTCAACCCTGCGTTCCCCGAGCAGAAACGGAAGTCAAGAAAAAAAATAAGGGATCGATGAGGATCGAACGTATCGTAAAGAAGATACTCCTATTTCTTTCACGAATCGACCCCAGTGAGTACGGAGTGGCGTAAAATTACAAAAAAAACACCCATGCGCTGATGTTCCCCCTTTTAATTGGTACTCTCGCCTATACGGCGTGTAACCCGTTACAAAAGAGACGCGTCGAAACAGCAACTCGCGACGATAAAGATCACGTATGAAGGAGGTGTCACGTCGACAACCATCATTGCCATTAAACGCTTCAATACACGGCACCTCTAAAGCTCTCATTGTTGCCTCACCTGCGTTGCAGAACGCGTCGCCGTGACTAAAAAGGAATTCACGAATTTGCGGGTGTCGTGCCTCAATTCGCGGTCCTTTGTGCGGGGTAGCAGGAGGGGAACATGGTGAGGGAGAAAGAGGAAAAGAATGGAAATTCAAGAAACCCTCGAACAGCATGACTGTTCTGTCGACGATATTCATAAACATTTGATACATACAGAAGATGGAAAATATTAAAGAAAATATTTAGTAAAAATCGTTAAATATTGTTAGAAACATCGTTGAATTATATTACGAAACCAACTCTCATTAACACTTTGGCCGTTCTGTACCCTTCCTCCCCAGAAAAAGAATCTCTCTTACGGGGCTAAGGATCGCGAGAAACGCGACGTAACGATTTCCGTTCGCGGCAAGGGCTAATTATTCCCTCCTCGAAGACACCCCGCATCTTCATCTTCTTTCTAACCACCACCTCCCTCGCTTCCTCTCTTTTTTTTTCGGTGGCAAGAGCAGGTCGTAATTAGATGCTAATAATCAGCACCCTCCAGGAGGATCACGCTCTTTTCCTCTGTTTCTGCTCCCGGCTCTCTCTCTCTCTTTCTCTCTCTCTCTCTCTCTCTCTCTCTCTCTCTCTCTCTTTTTCTTTCTCTCTCTTTCTCTCTTGACGTCGACCCGTTGCAACGGGGCGCAAGAAATCCCAAGCCCCTGAAGAGCTTATTATTATCCTAATTATACAATACTATAATGAATGACTTCGTGGCTCACCCTCTAGCCCTTACTCTCACTATCTTCCTCCCGGTGGCACTCTTCTCCTTTCTCACTTTCCTCCCTCTCACTCCTCCTCCTTTCTTCTCGCTCACCGTTGCTCTTCTCCTCTGCACTTGGTGGTCGAAGAGTGGCAATTCTAGCACTCGGGCTTTTTGTCAAACCGACTACGGAACTAGTCCCATCTCCCTCGCGCCCTTACACCCTATTATGCGACCAACCTCGTCTCTCGTCCCGTTTTCTCTCTGTCTCCTGGTGTCTGTTTTAATTAGGCACTTCGCGGATATATATGCGTATCTACCATGCGGTATTACGTAGGTACATAACCCAGCCAAGCCCAGCCCAGCCCAGACCTAGCCCAGTCTACCTACCATATTCCGCCTATACTCGGCGATCCGACGAGCTTGAATGCGGTTGATGGGTGGTTGAGTAAGGATTATAGACGCAGGTGACACATACACGTTACCTCCGAGAGCCTGAAGTCGGGGGTGGCTCGGTCCTGATGGGTGGATGCCGGTGACGGTTCAAGGAGACGTTGAAATAGAGAGATGGAAAGAGAGAGAGAACGCAGCGAAAGGGAGAGCAGCCGGAAAGGGAGATAGTGAACGAGAACGTGCTACGGCGAAAGGGGTAGAGGGGAGGTGAGAGAGAGAGAGTGAGAGAAAGGGTACGGGACACGATTTTGCAGAGACACACTCCTCTTTCAATTCTCCTCTCTCGTGTGCATAACCTTCTCTGACTGACTGCTGATAAGAGCACGCGAAATTGTCTTAATTGGCGAGAGAGCCAATCTGGAGTGATCGAATGAGAAGAGCCTCTCGCGTTTCTGCCACCTGACTCCTCCTCTCGCCCTTTCTTCTGGTCGCCAGATATATGTAGATCCGGTCGCGATGCACGAAAGATCCCATTGTTTTCTTCCGTTGGTTCGAGTACGTTCGATCGATGAGTGCCATTCCACCGGTGATCTTGTTTTCGCATTTCTCTATCCTGCGGTCTTATTCGTTATCCCGAGTGTCCATGAAATCTAGAGCTGCCTAGATCCTCGGGTTGTCGTTTCGAACTTTCAACTCTTGCGAAGATCATTTGTACCGTCGATCTGAAAGAACAAATAGTCTGTAACAAACCATTCGAAATATACAAAAAGTAAATTGATAAATTATAGGCAGGAGAGGAGATAAAGCATCTTAATAGAATATATCGTCGTCCACAGTGCACCTCGATTCACTCGGTAACCACGACGAATATGGAAACGTTCGACGATTCTCCGACGAGTCGTGCGCGACTCTGCCAGGCGGAAGCAATCTTAAAAATTGCTCCCAACGGCACCGAGCAAAGACCAAGACCCGAAGGTTGAACTGGTTGCCTCACATTGTCGAGCATTCAGGAACCTCGAGTTATACAAGCCGCAGTAGCACTACTGGTTGATTTCCCGCTGAACCGTACTTCTTTCCATCCCCTCGGGATCCAAAGTGCAAGATCAACCTTGCTGCCATTCTCACTGCCATTCTGGGCTTGCTACTCTAGGATACTTTCCACCACCGCGGCCCCGACTTCTGTGTGCGTTTAAGGGTGAGCAGGATAGGGACTCCGGGAACGAAAGATCAAGGGAAGAATGGAAAAAATATCCGGGCACGTAACAAACTCCGCTTACTCGTTCTCCCGACTCTGTCTCTCTCTCTCTCTCTCTCTCTCTCTCTCTCTCTCTCTTTCCATTTCGCGTTAAGTCGTTCGGTGTGTTTACTTCGCTCGACTTGTTCGCTCACGGTACGAAAGAATACAAGGACGGCCCTCTTCTTCGTCGTCGTCTTTCCGTATTTTTCCCTTGCTACTCCCTTTTTTTACTGAAAAGATTCAGTGCTCGAAGAAAACTAGTCTAGAGTAATATGCATATTTGCTTCTATCCAAATGATACGATCCATACTTCTTAAAAATATTTTATTACTATTCTGTATATTTTATAAATTTTAATGTTCACTTATAGTATGATTTAAATATACTTCCAGTATTTAGATCATTTCGCTAAGTTATCCAATCTTTGTTTCGGAAATCATAAAAGACGGAAAACCTTTTCAGGTGACGTTAAGTATACAATGATACCATTAGCGATCTTTTTACCAGAAGTTTACCAACACCTTTCCTGTGGTTGCTCCTACGTAACCGAATGAACGAATCCGACGCGGAACCAGGGCGTTTCAACTGAAAGAAAAATAATTAATTTCTTAATCAGTGGTGGCCCCATTGAAGTCCCGCTGGCAAAGACGCGCCGTACAAAGGATCACGGCGGTTCAAAGTATTCGCTCCTGTAGCGGCGCGCTCCTTTCCTCAGTTTTCGGTGAGATCCACCGAAGCGGAGCCACCCCTTTGCGCGGTGCCACCCCCGCCCCCCCCTCTCCCCTTTCGGCTCCCTGTACGAAGTCGCAGGTCACTATTACTATACAAATTACCCGCCAATTAGTGACTTGCGCTTGTTTTAACTGCGTTAATTAATGAACGTAAACCGGCAAACTTGACGGGAGCTCGATTTTTTCCTTTGCGGGACAAGGAAAGGAGAGGGAAAAAAAGAAGGCGTAACACACCAATTCCACGATGTTTGGACGCGCGCGGGCGCGCCTGCGCCTTCGCCGGCGTGCACCACACACGTCCCTGTGAAAGTCGGCGGCGGTTGCCCCGACGAGGGTGTCGAGATCTTCTTGGACGATACACTGTAACACGTTCTTAATAGTCTCTTTGAACCGCGTCGCTTGCCAGCCGACGAGGAGTTGTACACACCTCTTTGCCACTCTGTCCCCTTCTTCGTTCTTCATCTTCTCCCGCTTGCGTCAGACCACTTTCAGTATCGACCTTAATTAATTATCGGTAGTGCATTAGCATTCTCCGATCCGCGAGAATTAACGTCAGGCACGATGGTGGACAACTCGGAGGGAAAGAAATTATTTTCGCCCCTTTTTTGACGGTTTCAACCCTTTCCCTTCCTTAAGCATGGGAGTCTCTGATACTTTCGTTCGTATGTCTTGGATAATACTGCCCCGCGTGTTCGTTCTTTTTTATCTATCGGGTTGTGTGTCACTATTAATTAACGTCAATTCCCGATGTTTCGCGCATTGGAACGATGAGACATTCGTTTATACAATATTGGGTACTCGCAGAGTAGTATAACTCTTTAGATTAGAGTTATTGGAGAATCATGCATCCTCTGATTAAGTCGCTTTCGTTTTACAGAGAGTTCTACTACATCCAAATGGAGAAATACGCGAGGCAAGCGGTTTCAGAAGGAGTGAAGAACGTCGATGATCTTCGGGTCGGAGGTGACTCGGAAATCTACCGGGTTCTCAACCTCCATTACAACCGAAATAACCACCTTGAGGTAAGATCTCTTTCTTTATTTTCATATAACTTTTTTATAGCTAGTACAACTTTATTAACTGAAATTCTATATACACTGCAATGTTAAATATTCATCTCTATGTCGGATGGATAACTGCTACAAGCAATGGCGACTTTAAAACAACGAAAATAATCTTCCTATTGAATTATATAGAATAAATCTAAAAAGGTGTCCTAAAAAGCAGCAGGACCTAACAATCATAATTTCCAAAATCATTTGTCCGAAAGAGTACTGGCATTATTAGTTAAGACAGTCCAATTATAAACAAATTTTACAAAGGGAAAAATAAACAGAACCATTGGTTAGATAAGGACTCGATAAACTAATAGATAATATTAATATTTTTCATTTCCTAAATTTTACTATATTCTTGTATGTTTATTTTGCATATTCTGCGACTTATTTTTCAACACAATTCTCTCCAACTCGATACCAGATATTAATGATAAAATCCCAAAATTTAAGCTAAGATCGATGCGGATTCGATTTCGGGATTTCGACCACTACAAACTGGAATACATCCTGTTTACACGCCGGTGGCCGGTTACGTTTCCACACTGCAAATCACTCGTTGATCTCTATTTTCCATTGTGAGACGCAATTTACTTTCGTCACGGCTAACGACTCTGATTGTGTATTCGCGGTATCCACGTGACGGCGTGTATGCACGGCGTAAAGCAGCTATTTAATATTATTTAACGAGTCTTCGGTGAAACCCGGGGGCCTTATTCTTTTCCGCACGCGGTCACAATCGCGGCCCGCTTGACGTGTAATTAATTACTCGTATTCGTTAATAACCCAAACGTACTAATTATGAGTGGGGAAACTCTTTGCACCGCGCGCCCGCGCCGCTCGTTAAGCGATACGTAACATCGCATTAATTCTTCGGATTCACAGCTCCTTCGGTGGACCGTAATGAACGCGGAGAAATTATCTTTCGCGCTTATGCACCGGATTTATGCGTTCCCGCCAGCAAACTGTCTGACGATTAAATCTTTGATGCTTCCTTGCCTTATGCAAAGTTCGACCATCGATAATCTTTTTTGGGTGGGTAGGCGGGGATGATGGGACAGACATCGATATGGCTGTTGTAATTCAAAGTTGATAACGTGTGAAGTTTACTGTACAGAATCTCAGATTTCAATATTTCACATGCTTATTAGTAGGGCGATAATTATGGAACGAACGGAAAATTGAGCAAAAGATCAAAATGTTGAATAAATCTTCTATGTTACAATTATTTATAGGTTCTTTACATTTGATTGTATCTGTAACCAGCAACATAAAGATCGAGTATAAAACTTCATCATTTTCACTACACTTTAAGATTACTATTTATGTTCCAAGTAGTAGTTTGTATTTCCCTTTAACTATGTTTTTTGCTTATCGAAGAGATAAACGTTACAAACACCGTAAAAAACACTTGTGATCTATTTCGAGAAAACTTGAAAATTTATTAATACAATTTAATTATAGAAATTCGATAAATAATAATAGTCCACAAATTTGTTTATTGGAATAAAACTTTTTTTCCGTTAATGTATTCTGAAATTACAATTAAAATTATTATTAGTTGTAGTATTAAAATGTTTACACTGACCCAATATTATTTGAATGCGCCAAACGGTTATATTTCATTAACATCGACTGCAAAATTATTATTGTCTCGTGTACCCACGGTTCACGGTAATAGGGGTGCCAATAAACGTAAATACGTCAAAAGTCCCGGGTTCAACAGACTAATCTAACGATTTTGATAACAATTGCAGGTACCGAGCAACTTCAGGTATGTCGTCGAACAGACGTTGAAAGAGTTCTTCAAAGCAATCCAGGGCGGCAAGGACACCGAGCAGAGTTGGAAAAAGTCGATCTACAAGGTGATCTCAAGGCTGGACGACCCAGTGCCGGAGTACTTCAAGACCCCGAACTTCCTGGAGCAGCTCGAATGAATCAGGATGTCGCGTGGCTCTTGCTCTTCGTGGTGCGCGGGCTCATCAGCGCTCGTCGGCTCCCGGTAATACCAAGAAACAGTAAGAGAGATGACGGAACGGCCCAGCGAAGAAGGATCGCATCCGCCATGGGAGGTACACGTCCTTCGCGTAAAGCGCGTTCAGGTATCCTTAAACTAACATATCGCAGAACGAACGTGAGAGAGAGAGAGAGAGACAGGTAGAGAGAGTGAGAGAGAGAGAGCGCGAGAGAAAACGTGAGGTAGACCTTACGTTAGGGAAGATACTACATGGAAGAAACGCAGCGTTCGGATGTGTAAATGGTACGCGTGTGCAAAGGAATGAGAAAAAACACACGCAAAATAACGAACAAGCGACGGAGGCATCGATCATCAACCAGACGACGATGAGGAGTGCCGACAAAGGATCAGGCTGTGACCTAATCACGAGAACAACGTCATCGCGCGAGACCGGGTGGATATATCTCTTTTACGCTTCGTGCCTTCAACAAAAAAAGAATTCCTGACCGAGCGTGTCTCGTATAGATCCCTCGGTACCTCGAGTTGCATTAGCGAGGCCACGAACCTGTCCACCCTGTTTCTCGCCGCGACGACGCAACCATACACCGAGTTATCAAAACGCACCGACTGTCTTTGGTGAAAAACGAAGAGAAACAGGACGAGAGGGCGTGATCAATGAACGGCAAGGATTCATATTGTACACACACACATACTACTTCGAGAGCGTCGAGTATTGTTTCGATTTGTTGCGTACAGTCCACGATTACCGCCTAATTCATAAGGAGTCGTTTTTTGGTGGGAATAGGGATAAGAAACATGTGTAGTGCCCACGACGACGAGCGAATGGGTGGCTTTCGTTCGTATTCGGAGAGAAAGACAGAGAGTGAGAGATAGAGAGAGAGAGAGAGAGAGAGAGAGAGAGAGAGACACGAGGTGCACGGTGTATTATTTTATCCATGTTTTTTCAAAGAGCCGATAATACCGTTATTGTCTAATCGTGGAGCGAGATCCGCTGGACGGATCCTCCGCAAGCTTCCGATTGCGGGGCAGAAGAGGAACCCTTCTTGTGGATCTTCGGAAATGGCTCGGAACGGATGCTTCGCCCTCCGTTCGGAGCCGTTTCAAGCGCACTGAAAACAACGATGGCCAGTTTCACACGCGGCATTTCGTCACGCTGTACCTCGTCGTGTTCTTTTTTTTTTTAAAGCGGTGAACCCCGTGCGTCGATCGGGTTGGCCGCGCCCAGAGAGATACACACGCACCCATCGATCGTCGTCACCGGCAAAGAATTTGTTTTTTAGCACGATCACACCGCAAACTTTTGCTCGTATTAAACGAGCCACGATGACGATTTGTTATAATTCGACCAGAGTCGAGAAAACGGCGGTTCGTATCGAATCGACGGGCACGAAACCTTCGACGGACTGTTTAGCTACGATTTACTTTTTTATCCCCCTTCGACAGGAGCAAACATCAGTTACCAATGAAGATCGGGGCCGTGTCGTGGGGCCAACCCACGGCTTGCCCAACAGGATCTCGATCCTTTCTCTTAAGTTGTACATAATAATTATTTTAATGATCGCACCGTGCAAAAATCGTACGGGCGGGTTCGAGGTTGACGTAAACAAACAGTCGGCTCGATTGAAAACGGAAATCTTATATGTCCTAGGATGTACATACGAACATTCCAACGATATTTCGAGGCGCTGAGCCTCGGAATTCCACATCGGACAAACGTGACGCGGCGAACATCCGAAGCACATAAAACTTGTGTGAAACGCGACGCGATCCGGCTGTTCGCGAACGCGGTCACTCGAGAACCGTGAACTGTTTTCAGTTTTTGCTACGGTGACGAGGAATGTTTTGTCGTTAATAATTATATTTTCGTGGTCCGATGTTGCCTCGGCGACAGGAGAACAGAAACGAAGAAGAAAAAAACAAAGTAAGATGTCTATTATGTCAGAGTGTAGTACAGTCGCGTTGTATTAAACGAGAGAACGGTGCACGGATCATGATTACGCGGTATCATTACGTAGAGATGTTTTTATTAACGGTTAATTGATAGGAAACGAGGTTAGGCTAGTCGCAGAGACAGGAGTACGAGTAGCAGGGACGATAAAAGGGATGGGCGAAGCGATATTTAGAAACGGATCCAGCACCGGCGGCTTTCTAAAGCGTTAGATGATTTTTAAGAAAAAAAAAAAGAGATACACGAAACAAGATAATAAGAGTAATAAAATTGACTACGTAAAGAAAATTCATGGAGGAACGTTAAATGACCGCGAGCCGGTGCGTAAACTATATACAAAGTAGATTATTATAAAAACTTATATATACACATATATATAGACATCTATATTATATGAAGAAATTCGGAAGATGTATATATACATGTAATTGCATATCAAATTATATGTATATATATTAGAGACTTATGAAACGAAAAACGGATGTTGGCGCGATTAAAATTGCACGAAGAATGTGTGACAAAAGGGATAGACGCCTCCCTCATTCCTCTTGTACCCTACCCCAATTACTCGGAGACACACACATTTACGCACACACACGGATACGTACACACGAACACGAAACACTATTAAAACGACGTAGAACCCAACCGCGCTCGTACTTTGTACAGAGGATGAAATCGCAATGTCTACGCCTATGTATCCTTACCGCAAAAAGTTTCATTTCCGCGAGACGGTTTGTAGATAATTTTATCGTAAAGTATAATAATTACAATTATAAATATATCTTGGGTGGTAGCCAGTCCCTTGTAACTTAACCTACTTACCTTTCTCACTATTACTACCACTGTTATTCTCGCTATTACGTGCACTATTATTATTATTATTATTAGTTATTACCGCTATTATTATTAAATATTTCCGTCAACAATTATTATAATTATTATTATGATGATTAGTACTATTATGATTAGTTGTGTTCTGACTATTCCATGGAAACGTGACAATTTTGATTCGAATCGCAATTATCACTTCTACGTCTAGTGGCAATTATTTATTGTCATTGGTTTAGTGTTTACGTCGAAGCGTTGGCTCGTCCTTTATGCCGCGAGAAACACATCACGAGTAAACTCGTGTTCCCTGTCCGCCTGTCCACTTCCCTTATCATTCTTTTCCCTTTCGTCCTTGCTTCTTCTCGATGACGTTTCGTCTCCGTTCTGGCATTTAGTTATTATTGTATTTAGTTATTGTATTATTATGACGACGACGATGACGATTATTATTATTATTATTATTATTATTATTATTATTATTATTATTAAGCATGTATTATGCAGTGTACACAGCTAAGAGCAAAAGCAAAAAGGAATATCACACGAAACACACGTTTTTTGTAAGCGGTGAGTCTTAACCTAGTCACGAGTCACTATTTTTTAATTTTAACGATCAACTTATTGATTATTATTTTATTTATTATTTACGACAATAAAAGCGAAACATTGGACTTGCGTTGTATTTTTTATTTTCGTTCATTCTGTTTTCATTCAACCTTCAGTACGCGCCACCCTAACTCGAAATAAAAAAACAAACGAAGAAGGACAAAAATTTGAAAAACATTCGGCAAATTGTCTCGAAATTGTTCGATCAACTACCTGGCCTACCTTCCATCCAAAATGAACGGAAACACGTCGCGAAAAACGCGACGAAGAATTTCTGGGTTGGAAACCGATCGTCGTCGGGGTCGAATCGCCACGCGAAGGACACGAGAGGCTTTCGTGTCTCTGTGTAATAATAAAGACAAAGAAAATGTATATCTCGGAGGGACGTGAGAAAAATTTGAAAAATTTCGACTTTTAGATAACTTAGATGACACTGGCCTAAAATTAGATATTTCCTTCGGCGCTGGCCTAAGATTTTTTGGTCTAAACGTTCACGGGAAAGAATAGAGGAAGAGAAAGAAATATGGGGGTAGGAAGCGAATTAGAGGGAAAAAACTGTAGGAAATTTTTTCGAAAACGATAACAATGTACCTGGTGGTCGCCGTCGAGGCTCGACGATTCGATCCTTCCGGTTTCTCCAGCCCGATTCACGCACCGTTGTGCGGAAATTCTTGTTTTCGTTCGACTTTAGTTCCTACGTTACTCGCAACCCACAAACACTACACGCCAGGGGGAAATTTTAATAACGAATTTCGAAGGAAATTTAATCTATCAATGCGCGACGTGATTAGCATGCACGTTGCGTTCGACAAATTGCGCTCGTTTGTGCCGCAAATATTTGGCGGTACGTTTAAATTTTCCGGAAAAACTTTTCGACCGTTCTGAATTTTTTTATCCAGCACTTTAAACAACGGATCGACGAAAAGCGACAGTAAGGTTGAATTTAGCGAAGAGGGGAAATTTATCGATGTTCCGTGGGATCGATCGATTATGTTTAACAATAAATTATTCAAAGGGTCGAGGGAATTAGTATAAATGAAACGGCTAAACGTTATTTTTTTCGCAAATAAGTTTGATATTCCTACGAATATACGTGTTCGAATCAACGATTAATAACAATCTTTCTGATTTTAATAAGAGATTTTGTAAAACAACAAGCATTCGCGAATTAAACAGCGCTCGCTTCGCGAAACTTTCGAAACTATTTTACGCGTCAACATCTTTTCCGAAAGGAAGCATCTTCTTCATAACCAAGTTAACAGAACTACAAGAAACTTCAACAAATTCCAGTAAAAACCAAACAATTCGTGAATGGAAACATTCATCGTGCATTCGATTACAAAACCGCAGCCCCACCCCTGATACTCCACTACTTCTGCGAGAAATACAAGCAAAAATACCGTATGTATTACATCGGAAGCCGACCTACACATTCCCGCCAGAAAAGGGAAAACCACATTATCGATAGTATGACAATTCGTTTAAAATGATTCAAGCCAATCCGAACTTGATTCGATTCACACGCATATCAGTAACAGAAGCCACGCCAACAATAAGACCGACAAACATTTGTT